AAAGTTCCCAGTCATTTTATAAGCATGCCTGGCCGGGATGCCTGCCAGGTTCCTTGTCTGCCTGGGAACTGCTGTCATTGTTGTCACTCAGAAAGCAGTTGGCAGACCTGGGCCCTCGGGCAGGCCTGGCTGCTCCCTTCCTTGAGGTCGCAGCAGCCGCAGGGCTACAGTGGACAGCTGCCTCCAAGCCTTGTGTATGCAGCTCTTCCTATGGACTTTTTGTTCTCTTGTGGGGTTAATGAATAATGAAGATTTTTTTTGGAGCTGAGTCTCGCTCTGTCCCCCAGGCTGGAGTGTAATGGCACGATCTCAGCTCACTGCAACCTCCGCCTCCCAGGTTCAAGCAATTCTCCTGCCTCAGCCTCCCGAGTAGCTAGGATTACCGGCACATGCTGCCACGCCTGGCTACTGTATTTTGTATTTTTAGTAGAGACGGGGTTTCATCGTGTTGCCCAGGCTGGTCTCGAACTCCTGAGCTCAGGCAGTCCACATGCCTTGGGCTCCCAAGTGCTAGGACTTTTTTTTTTTTTTCTTATTGAGATAGATAGAGTCTCACTCTGTCGCCCAGGCTGGAGTGCTGTGGTGGGATCTCGGCTCACTGCAACCTCCTCCTCCCAGGGTCACGTGATTTTCTTGCCTCAGCCTCTTGAGTACCTAGGACTACAGGCACGCACCGCCATGGCCAACCAATTTTTACAGTTTTGGTAGAGACAGGGTTTCACCATGTTGGCCAAGCTGGTCTTGAACTCCTGACCTCAAGTGATCCACCCGCCTCATCCTCCCAGAGTGCTGGGATTACAGGCATGAGCCAGTGTGCCTGGCCCAGATCTTTAATGTACTCTCTAGTGTAGGCTCCCTCTTAAAACTGGATTATATTTAGAAGTGTTGACTATTTAAAGCCTGTAATAATCTAAGTCTCTGTAAGATTTGTTTCTTTGTCCCTCTTAAACCTATTTTGGTAAACTGGGCCATGCCTGGCCTAAATTTAGAAAGGCGGGGTTAAAGGCCAGTGTCTTCAAGCTTCATGGGCCAATCCAGAGCGGCTGTCCTGGAGGGGACTGCAGTGTTCCTGGGCTGCTGCCTTCAGTCGTGGAGTCAGGCTGGGCGTGGGGTCCTGTAATCCCAGTACTTTGGGAGGCCAAGGCATGAGGATTGCTTGAGCCTAGGAGTTCAAGATCAGCCTGGGCAACATAGTGAGACCCCCATCTCTTAAAAAAAAAGAAAAAAAGTGGAGTCATACATGTCATGTGGGGTTTGTCCCTAAGTCTGTCCCCAACAGACTCGTAAGGAGCATGTTCTTTCAAAGAAAGCTTTTTGCTGACATTTTTATCTAAGTGCCTATGTGTCTATATTTTTAAAAATCTCAAATGTGTCATTTATTTGTTTATGCTAAAATACTTTTTTATTTTTGTAAATCAAGTAAGTATATAGATCTTTTTCCTTTGGTAATCTAAAATGTAGATTATCTAAAAGATAGCTTCTTAAATTCCTAAACCCAAGTTCGCTTTTAAGTTAGATGACCAGAAAAGAGCAGATAGGTTTGAAGTAGAGAGTCTAGTTAAACTCGAGTGCTAGATTTAACGGGTTATAGAAAGGTAACACGTTTTGAAGCAAGAGTGCTTAGCCTTGAAGATAATTTGTTTGTGTCACTTAAATATGATGCAATCTTAAATTAGTGGTTTTCTTTTTTTTATTTATTTCTTATTTTGAATCATTTTGTTTTCTTTTTTAAATCTTATTTTTGTACTGATGGGGTTTGGCCATGTTGCCCAGGCTGGTCTTGAACTCCTGGCTTCAAGTGATCCACCCATCTTGGCTTCCTAAAGTGTTAGGATTATAGACTTGTGCCACTGTGCCTGGCTAAATTAGTGCTTTTCAAATATTGGAAATACCTTTAGGTTATATGTATATTGGTGTTTTAATCATTTGAAGCATCGTAAGTAGTTTTTATTTAAAAAATATTTTGCAGTTCCCAAAACAACCAAAACTAAAACAAACCACAAAATAGCTGCATATCTAGCCAGGCGCAGCGGCTGACACCTGTAATCCCAGCACTTTGGGAGGCCGCAGTGGGCAGATCACCTGAGGTCAGGAGTTTGAGATCAGCCTGGGCAATATGGTGAGACCTCATCTGTACAAAAAATACAAAAATTAGCCTGGGTGTGGCGGCGCGCACCTGCAATCCCAGCTACTCAGTAGGCCGAGGTGGAAGAATCGCTTGAACCCAGAAGGCGGAGGTTGCAGTGAGCCGAGATTGCACCACTGCACTCCAGCCTGGGCAACAGAATGAGACTCCATCTCAAAAAAAAAAAAAAAAAAAGAGAAAAAGCTGCCTTTCTTCTCATTTTTAAAGTCCCATCTTTACCATTCAATATGCTACTTTCCTTCACAAATAAAAACATTTCCTGTATTTAAGTGGACTATTTACATGACCAGTTTACATGGTCTGTTTCTTTCTTCGTGTTAAAGATGCCTAAGTTAAAAACAAGCTCTTGGCCGGGCGCGGTGGCTCAAGCCTGTAATCCCAGCACTTTGGGAGGCCGAGGCGGGTAGATCACGAGGTCAAGAGATCGAGACCATCCTGGTCAACATGGTGAAACCCCGTGTCTACTAAAAATACGAAAAATTAGCTGGGCATGGTGGCGCGTGCCTGTAATCCCAGCAACTCAGGAGGCTGGGGCAGGAGAATTGCCTGAACCCGGGAGGCGGAGGTTGCGGTGAGCCGAGATCGCGCCATTGCACTCCAGCCTGGGTAACAAGAGCGAAACTCCATCTCAAAAAAAAAAAACCAAAAACAAAAAACAAAAAAAACAAGCTCTTTTGAGTTAAATACTGAAGCTAATAGTTATAACAAATGATCTGAGATGACGATTACATCTAAAAGTAAGTTTGAGAGAAAAAAAAAATCATAAAGAGTGGAAGAAAGTGACGCAGAATTTCTTTCGCACCTGGCGGGGAGGCGCAGGTCGGCAGGGCGTGGAGCTCGCAGAGGCTGGGTCCTAGCCTCACTGTCCCCTCTGTTGTTGGTCCTGAGGTCCTGGAGGAAGCTGTATCTTTTTCCAGATGACACAAAGTAGCCCTGGTTGGTTTTGAGGCCAACAAGGAAGATTGAGCTTTGTTTTCTTTTTCAAATTTTATTTTGTACTGATGAGGTTTGGCCCATGCAGCCCAGGCTGGTCTGGAACTCCTGGACTCAAGTGATCCACCCATCTCGGCCTCCCGGAGTGCTAGGATTATAGACATGCGCCACTGTGCCTGGCCGGGGGAGGCTGAAGGGACTCCAGGAGGAGAGCAGACAGGCCTGCCCCCAAGCACCCAGGTCTGCCAGCTACTTTCAGCATGATTGGTTTCGGGGCAAGGAGGAGAGCCCCGTGAGTGTTTTGAGAGCTCAGTTCCTGCAGGTGCTCTCCCTCTGACTTTCCCAGCTCTACCTGGGCCCTGCAGCACGTGGTGTATGTCGGTGGCATCCGTGGTGTGGGTGGCACCGTGTGGCCACATGCACAGTCTCCCTTGTCTGGGTCTGCCTCCGCAGTGACTGCATGTCCAGCCAGACGAAGAACGTGGTCAGCGGCGTGCTGTTCGGCACCGGGCTGTGGGTGGCCCTCATCGTCACCATGCGCTTCTCCCTGAAAGTGCTGCTGTCATACCACGGGTGGATGTTCGCTGAGCATGGCAAGATGAGTCGTGCCACCAAGATCTGGATGGTAATTGCACGTCCCTCTGGCTGTGGAGTGGGGTGGACGGTTTGGGCTTTGCGATGAAGGACACCCTTGGGGACCTTTTCTCCCTCGATGCTTGGTTGGTGACGTGGACCTCGGCCTCTAATGGCTGGAGAGGTTTGAGTCACCATGATGCAAAAGCGGGGGCCAAAGATGCTTCCCTTTTGTGACATGAGTGAGATCTACAGCGTTTTATATTGAGGTCTCCTGGGTCTGTGGTTCAGGTCATTCATCGTATGGAAGTGCTGTCTGCCCAGTTCTTTGTAGCATTCTGGACTCACTTGTTGTCAGGCATTAAATGGTTACCTCAGCTCACCCCTCTGGCAGGCTCCCGTGACTCAGACTTAGCTTCCGGAATGTTCCCTCGGCTTGCTTTGGCCCTTAGCCCAAGGGTTCCTTATTTAAGGTAATGGCTTTGCCATGTATGTGGATGCTTGTCCAAATTTCATGATTTAAATGTTTTTTTTTTTTCTTTTTTATTTTGTTTTATTTATTTATTTTTCGAGACAGAGTTTTGCGTTTGTTGCCCAGGCTGAAGTGCAATGGCGTGATCTCAGCTCACTGTCACCTCTGTTTCCCAGGTTCAAGCAATTCTCCTGCCTCTACCTCCCAAGTTGCTGGGACAGTAGGCATGCACCACCACGCTCAGATAATTCTGTATTTTTAGTAGAGACGGGGTTTCAACATGTTAGTCAGGCTGGTCTTGCACTCCTGACTTCAGGTGATCCACCCACCTCGGCCTCCCAAAGTGCTGGGATTATAGGCATGAACCACCCCGCATGGCTTTGTTTGTTTGTTTGTTTGTTTGTTTTGAGACAGGGTCTTGCTCTGTTGCCCAGGCTGGAGTGCAGTGGCACAATCACGGCTCACTGCAGCCTCGACCTCCTGGGCTCAAGTGATTTTTGCCACTTCAGACTCCCAAGTAGCTGGGACTATTGGCACACACCACCATGCCTGGCTAATTTTTGCATTTTTCTTTTCTTTTTTTAAAATTTTTTTTTAGAGATGGGGTTTCACCAAGATGGCCAGGCTGGTCTTGAACTCCTGACTTCAGGTGATCCACCCACCTCGGCCTCCCAAAGTGCTAGGATTACAGGCATGAGCCACTGCGCCCGGCCAATTTTTGCATTTTGCAATAGAGACGGGGTTTCGCCATGTTGGACAGGCTGGTCTCAAACTCCTGAGCTCAAGAGATCTGCCCACCTCAGCCTCCCAAAGTACTGGGATTGCAGGCGTGAGCCATCACACCTGGCCTCCATTTCAGTGTTTTTATGGGGGCCGGGCACAGTGGCTCCTGCCTGTAACCCTAGTACTTCTGGAGGCGAAGCTGGATGAACCACTTGAGCTCAGGAGCTAGAGAGCAGCCTAGGCAACATGGCGAAGCCCCGTCTCTACTAAAAATACAAAAATTAGCCAGACAAATTAGCCAGGCATGGTGGTGCATGCCTGTAATCCTGGCTGCTCGAGGGGCTGAGGTGGGAGGATCGCCTGAGCCCAGGAGGTCAAGGCTGCAGTGAGCTGTGATTATGCCCCTGCACTCCAACCTGGGCAACAGAGCCAGACCCTGTCTCAAAATATATATATTTGTGTATGTATATATATATGTATATAAGCCCATAAATATATGTGTATATATGTATATTTATTTACACATGTCCAGCCCCAGAGACCCAGGTTGGGCTTGAGGTTCTGAGCAAAGCCCAAGGTCCAGGGCCATGACTACACTGGGCGGATGGCCAGTGTATATACACATATATACACACACATATATGTATATGTTTATGTACGTATATACACACACACATATATGTATATATGTGGTACGTATATACACACGTATATATATATGTGTATTACATATATACACACACGTATATGTATATGTGTATTACGTATACACACACACGTATGTGTATATGTGTATTACGTATATACACACACGTATATGTATATGTGTATGTACTTATATACATACACACGCATATGTATATGTGTATTATGTATATACACACACGTATATGTATATGTGTATTACGTATATACACACACACGTATATGTTTATGTGTATGTACTTATATACACACGTATATGTATATGTGTATTACGTATATACACACGTATATGTATATGTGTATGTACGTGTATACACACACGTATATGTATTTGTGAATGTACGTATATATACACACACGTATATGTATATGTGTATGTACGTACACACGCGTATATGTATTTGTGAATGTACGTGTATACACACACACGTATATGTATATGTGTATGTACGTGTATACACACACACGTATATGTATATGTGTATGTACGTGTATACACACACACGTATATGTATGTGTATGTACGTGTATACACACACGTATATGTATATGTGTATGTACGTGTATACACACACACGTATATGTATATGTGTATGTACGTGTATACACACACACGTATATGTATGTGTATGTACGTGTATACACACACGTATATGTATATGTGTATGTACGTGTATACACACACACGTATATGTATATGTATGTACGTGTATACACACACGTATGTGTATTTGTGAGTGTACGTATATACACACACGTATGTGTATATGTGTGTGTGTACGTGTATACACACATGTATGTGTATGTGTGTGTACGTGTATACACACGTATGTGTATATGTGTGTACGTGTATACACACACGTATATATATTTGTGTGTGTATGTATATATACACACACGTGTATGTATATGTGTGTGTACGTATATATACACACGTATGTGTATATGTGTATGTACACACATATATACACACACATATATTTATGGGCTTAGGTGTTCTGAAAATAAACCCTCCAATGTGGGCATCATCTCTGAACTTTTGAGACCCCCCCCGGGGGCTCAGACCCCTGTGACCCCTGCAGGCCCCCAAGCTGGCGTGTGCCCCGTGTGACATCTGCCCAGTGTAGTCATGGCCCTGGGCCTTGGGCTTCGCTCAGCACCTCAAGCCCAACCTGGGCCTCTGGGGCTGGACATGTGTAAAGAAATGTCTGCTTTTTTCGCCCGTCTTGCCAAGTGGTCTAAATGGTTCTAATGGACCAAGTAATCATGAGAAAATTTTCTGCAGAATCTTTCTTGAATGGGGCTGTTCCATGGCTCTGCCAGTGTGTATGAAGCCGTGTGTCTGCTTTGCTTTCTCGTCTGCCCTGACCTTGGCTCTGGGGCTCTTCTGTTCAGTCGCCTTGGGGTGGTCCCGCAGTGGTACCTGCCTGGGCTGGGCTGCTGTCCCAACCTCCAGGGAGCCTGCTTGTGAGGGAAGCGAGGGAGTCACCGCAGTGCCCAACATACACCCAGGCTCTGCTCTTTCCCAAACATATTTTTTTTTTTT